GGAAGTGAGACGCATTCCTCGGGGATGGTCGCATATTTGAAATTTACCGAGTTATGAATATATGCACGAGACTTCTCCATACTTGCGACCAATCGAGATAATTTTCAATCCCAATTTAACCTCACCTTGTAAACAAGATTTCTGGAAGCGTTGTCTGCGAAGGTTTTGGGAAGCATCCCAGAAAATTTTCAAAGTCCCTTCCCCGCATGCGGAAATTCTAGAACTGTTACTGTTTATCCGCTGTGCTGGATCGTAATCATCTCAAACGGCCAAGTGCAGGCTTTTCTCAAACCTTCCACTTTTTTGAACGGATAGAGCGAATCCGCCTAAGTTTGCAATAGCTAGAGGATCCCATGTTCTTAACTGTGGCGGCATGTGTACATTCTGCAGCTGAAAAGAGACGAGGCTCCTGTAAGCGTCCCAACTTCCCGGAACTAATTTCCACTTCATAACTTTATGGCGCGATGATATAGCCGAGGGTTTTCACTTACACACTTTCGCACATACTTATTCAGGCCCCACCGCTTCAGACACTGCCTTTCACGTTTAAAGGCAGTGGGTCGGCAGAATGAGACCCGTGGCAAAACAAGGCACAAGATAGGAGCCCCCATAGTGGAACCTATGGGCCAAAGTTCTTTCTTTCTCTGCCACTCCTAATTCCCGAAATTTCAAAGCGAAAACAGCGCTCATCTCCTATCCTCTCCGAACCCGCCCACCCCACAGACGAGTGAATTCCACGGTCAGAGAGCGCAGCCGCAATGCTACAAGCATGAGGTCCCGCAACGACTCTGCGTCTTCGCCATGATGGGCTTCGCGTTCACTCGTCCGAGGAGTGGGCGGGGTCGGAGAGGAGAGGAGATGAGCGCTCCTTTCGCTTTGAAATTTCGGGAGTTAGGAGTGGCAGAGAAAGATCGAACTTTGGCCCATAGGTTCCATTATGGGGGCTACTACCCTGTGACCTTGTTTTGCTACGGGTCTCATTCTGCCGACCCACTGCCTTTAAATCCTCCGTGCATCACAAGAAAAAGGGTAGTCATGAAGATCAAGGAATTATCTCTTAGAAATTGATATCAATCCCAAAGAGACAAGCATTAGAATTTCTAATTTCAGGTGTATAAGGTGTATGTGTGCCGCACCCTCTCTGCTCTAAACGCAGCAGACCCAAGCATGCCGCTACGCATAAGTCTCGCGAAGCGGTCGCTTGTTGTTTTCTCAAATATGCGCCCCCATGGTAACAGGCAGTCTTTTGACGGGTTCGCCTTTAGAGCAAATAGGGTGCTGCTTATATACCTGAAAATACGGTAATATCTGATGACATGCAAACCCGGGCTAGAGTAAAGTGTGCTTGGGCAGTTACAAAATCTGACGAAATCTCTTGTTGTCTAGTAAAAATGACAAAAACATACCTTAACCAAGAACCATTTATAATGCCTGACCCGCTGGCTCATTAACGCGATAGCTTGGTAGTAGGCTAATCACAACAGATATTTCTTACGAGGGCAGGGTAAAATCTCTTGTCGCATCCTGGGAAGATAAAGGAGTCATGTCACCGACAATATGGGGAAATTCAGCTAATAAAAGGGCCAGGCAATACACGCGATTCATCGCCGCGCGATTACAACAAGATAACTGTTACGAGGCTATTGTATGCCGATCATCTTGCACTTCAGTTGCGATAGTTAGTCGCAATTGATCGCGTTGGAAAATTACCACAACCGAAATGCAAGATGATCGGCACACGAGCATGCCCGGCCCTTGCGATGATATATCATTTAAAGGGCTACATCTACCAACTTTCTTTCCTTTTTCAGATTTCCCACCAGACAACTAAAATCGGATGATGACTGTAGTCAGCTCATGCCAACGACCTACTAAACCGTACGCAGAGAAAATCTTAATTAGTTTCAGGAATTTACACGACGCGCCAATTTCTAAATGAAATTGCTGGCTACGAATTACTTGGATCTGCTTTCATGCTGGAGGTTGACGTTTTCGTACCGAAAAAAAAATGTTTACTTCGATTAACAGACCCGGCGAGCTCGAGATGCGAAGAGCAATAGCAGATTCAGCATTTATTGTTGGCAAAGCAATCACAGAAAAAATACTGCGCTGCTCTAGTTTCTAAGCTTATGTCAAAGTTCTTCCACAAACGCTTTTTATTCAGAAAACACGTCTTTTCTTTCTTTAGAAGCTAGTACACACAGTTACCATGAATACCAAAGCGAGAAATCCTAAACTACAGCAAATTTCCACAAGCTGATGGATTTGGTCACTGCGCACACACAGATATGCCAACATTATCTGCACCGCTGTTGTTTATGACAGATGGTTTTCTCACTTTCAGCCAAGAATATTAAAAAATTTTGAATAATTTCCTTGAACTATTTCTCAACCAATACAAAAACTTCTACAGTGCTGGAAAAAATTATAGGTCCACTCTAAAAAGTGCCGTAACTTACTCTGTTGTCAATATAATGTTCCAAAATTTGGTAGAGCCGTATGTTTACCAGTCTACTATCAGCATCAAAATAGGTCTCGTTTTCGTTTGGTTATTCAACAGAAAATTGAAAATTTTGAAAAAAACGGGCTTGATTGAACAAAATTATAGGTCCACCTGGAATTTTTACTGATTAAAGCGCTTCTTGGCTCCCGAATTTTTTTTAGGTAAGCACACATCTAAAAACGTTAAACAGCTGCTTTGGTCAAGCTGTGTCATACCTCCAAAAAGAACTGATTATCTGCTTTTTTGCCTTAAAAATGCTTTCACATGCATTTCGCTCCACAAACCTGCGTTGAGTAAGAAATTCTGCGGTTTCCCAGCTAGATTGGAAGCGACGGGGTTTCATCTACCTTCTGGATGCTTTTTGACGAAAGCATTGAGGAAAAATCCGACTTTCTGCTGCTGAAGCAAATCCGACATCGACTCACTCGGGAGAGTAAGCCTTAGTTTCTGCTCTAGAACCCTTTATGCATTGTCATTATAGCCTCAAGATATTGTGAGAGCATTCTTTACACAAGAATAAAGCTGTTCGCCATACTCGCAAGTGTCCACAAAGCTGCCTTTCTTCTTTTTCGGAACATGAGTTGTGTGTGCAACGTAATGACGGTGTTACGCAGATCCAAAATAGCTTGCCAAGTGCTACCTCACTTAGATTTTTGACGGTAATTATTTATTAGATAGCGAATACAGCTTGTGGTGTATGTTAGCACATGATTTTTCTGAAAATTTTGGTAGGAGCCACAAATATTAGGTTGCTCCAAAAGTTTTGTCAGTTTTTCAATCCATCGGCAAACACGCTAGAATAGATATAAACAAACGCCTCAAAATGCAACTAATGCAGAATTTCTTTCTCTTTCCAGCTGCTGAACTCCCATTGCGTTTTATTGCGAGAGTGGCGAGATAATTGCTGAAAATTACAAACACTCGTTTTTACCATGTCCAACTTTCGCTAATTTTCAAAATTTTTGCGTGAAACATTCGGAGCTTTAATAACCGGCAGGTAGGGCAAACCTTTTGCCAAGAAAAGCAATTTTTTGTAGCCCTTCGGCTTGTCTTTCAGAATTCCTACGATATATTTCTTGAAGTGATCAAATTATACATTCAGCCTATTCTGACCTTGTAGAACATAAAATGTTAAACACTTCAGTCACCATTCAATGCAGATTTTTCTCCTCTTGTTAACACTTGTCTTTCTTTGCCGGGACAGGCGAAATTTGTGGGGAAAATCGCATTATTTATGAATTTCAGGAGTGCGCACTGGCGCTGTGTTTCAAAACCTTCATAATTTGAAGCGAAAATCGCTCATTTACTTTGTAATGATAGCGGTAGTAATAATCATGTGCTGAGATCTCAGTTTACTGTAGATTTTCCAGTGTTTGGTGCAACAACAGGTTGTGCAATTCTTCCAAAACACAAGAATTTTAGTAAATTATATAGCAAAAATCTGGAAAAGCAGCTGATAAAAAAAATTGCATAAGTTGGCAAAAGGTTAGCCCTATCTGCTGGCTATCAGGGCTCCTCCGAAAGTCTCATACAAAAATTTTGAAAATTAGCGAAAGTTGGACGTGGTAAAAACGCGTGGTTGTAATTTCCAGCGATTACCTCGTCATTCTCGCAACGAAACAGAATGGGAGTTTAGCATCCGGAAAGAAGAGGAAATTCTGTATTGGACACATTTTGAAGCGTTTGTTTATCTCTATTCTAGCGTGTTTGCCGATGGATTGAAAAAACTGACAAAACTTTTGGACCCACCTAATAGCTTTTGTGCTTGTCGTAATCAGTTTTTGCAGGGTGATTTCAGTAATTATACTCGAATACTAGGATCTCTAGAAAATTGTAACCATGGAATACGGGCTCCCCCTTGTAGAAACAATGCCTTTACTTGATACTTCTGAGAACATTGTAAAAGAGGTTTGTAGACATAAATTTGAGCTCGGGATTGCAATATTGTCAATGTCGGATTTGCTTCAGCAGCAGAAAGTCGGATTTCTTCCTCAATGCTTTCGTCAAAAAGCATCCAGAATGTAGATGAAACCCCTTCGCTTCCAATCTAGCTGGGAAACCGCAGAATTTCTTACTCAACGCAGGTTTGTGGAGCGAAATGCATGTGAAAGCATTTTTAAGGCAAAAAAGCAGATAATCGGTTCTTTTTGGAGGTATGACACAGCTTGACTAAAGTAGCTGTTTAACGTTTTTGAATATGTACCTACCTAAAGAAATTCGGGAGCTAAGAAGTGCTTCAGTAAAAACTCCAGGTGGACCTATAATTTTGTCCAGCCTTCAAACCTGCTTTTTTGAAAATTTTCAATTTTTTTGAGTAACCACACGAAAACGAGACCCATTTTGATGACTGTTGACTTGTTTAGTAGGCTGGTAAACACACGGCTGTACCAAATTTTTGAACATTTTATTGACAACAGAGTGAGTTATGACACTTTTTAGAGTGGACCTATAATTTTGTCCAGCACTGTATAACGTTTTCAGAGAGTTTCTTTTGCAGATGCCGGAACCCATAGCAGCCGAGCCTCAACTCTTCACACCATTATGTGAATTGGGACAACTCTTAGCCAGCTATGGCTACGTGCCAAGAGCTACGTTCCGTCCTGGTGCCACTGTTGTTCATGTGCATGCATGATGAATCACGGCCACGAATGAATCGACACGGACCGCAGCAAAGAAACCCGCTCTGGAAGATGTAAGAATTGTTTAGGCACTGCTTTTTCCTGAAATCTCTTCTTTCAGCAAATCGAAGCTATCCTTCTGGTGCAAATGGCTACCCTATGCATGCCAATGGAGCAATACCGCATGCGTCTGGAATCAACGGCACTGTTCCGTCCACGTCTCAATATGGAGGAATGGAACGAAGACCCTATCGTGATCAGAATTCGAGAGGCGGTCGTGGCTCAGGCACCGGTGGTGGCCCTCGCCGTGGAAATGGCGAACGCAATTATCATCAAGGTGGTCGTCGTAATGGTGGAGCGAATGGCTCGTACCAAGATGGTAGACGTCGAAGTGATTACTGTAACGGTGGAACTGGGACAGGAACAAATAACAATAATAACGGACCTGCGTTAAGTGTTTCCACAGGGAATCTGGCTAGCGCTGCTGCCATGGCGGGTACATCGAATACGTTACAAATCGGAAGGTAAGTGCTTTACGTCTTTTTGATTCTGCCAAATTGATTACACTACCGCAGGCCGCGATAGTTTCCGTCGTGAACGGAATGCCGATGGCGAACATTTATCTACGAATGACACATCGAATACTTCGTCTGGTAAAGGTCGACGCTGGGAAGCGGATAGTGAGAATGGAAGTGATGGACAGCTGAGAGGAAGGTAGAATTTATATTCTTGTCTATATTTGTCCTATTCTTTTTCTGCTCCTGATTTATTTTCTAAGTTCTGCTTGGGATGAGCCAACCCTAACATCGACGAGTTGACTTATCCCAATAATAGACCTGCTTAGGGCTTTATATTTGTTTTTTTTTTATCAATCATGACTATGATCTTTTCGTCAGCAACCTGGTCACGCTGCATTCCAATACATTTTTTCTATTACATCTTCTTTTCAAGGCTTTATCTCAAAGTGGATGCTCTGCTTATTCATTTGGAGAGAGAGCCTTTCCATCATTATCGGAGCCGAAACCAGAACAGGAAAAACCGGTTGAGAAACCGTCGTTCAGGTATGTATTTATCTCTATGTTCCTTTTCTTTTCCAAAACAAACTTCCAACATATTTTCGACACGTAAGCAATTTGTCTACACACTTTTGTCCTTATGTAATTGAGGCTTGAGATTGAATTCTTTCAGCCATGACATTTGAGTAATTACACTCACGTCATTTTCTATTTATACAGCTTGTGTTGATAGAAAATGATGTGTGAGTCGTGAATCCGAAATTTCTCCATCGTTTTTCACATAAATGGATCTTTCGGAAATTTGGTAAGTGAAAGGGCAGTAGTGGGAGTGAGATCTTGCATGGTTGTTGAAAGGTTTTTTTCTGGGGAAGTTTTTGTTGTATATGTAACATCGCTTATTTGTGAAATCATTATATTAGGTCGTTCCGAAAGTAATGTCGCTTTTTTCAAACGTATGCCACATCTCGTGGAACAAAGATGTGCAATAGATTCTGGTAGCATTTGATGCAGCATTTCATTCTCTTTCTAATGGTTATGAAGTTGTTGCAGTATAGTCAATGAGCTTCCAAAAAAAGAGTCAAAATCTGTGACTTATGCTTTTTAAGATGGCCAAGTTTCACAATTTTTCTAAAATTTTATAACAACTCTCGGAAGAAGCTCAAGTAATGGATGGATAGCGCAATCCCTACAGGAAACAGCACAACTTTTTTCTACTTTCCAAAGCTAGTCATAATTTTTGTACAGATTTTTTGATGGAACCACCGAATTTTAGCAGGCTCGTCTCAGACATAAGTGCATCAAACGCCAACAAGTCTCCTGATTTTTGAACTTACAAAGATGGATTATGGTTTGGCAACAATTTTACAAACCAAAAGAGCATTCACCGCTTCGATTTAGCAACTTTCGAAAATTTCGGGTACACCTTGGAGTGCCTTGAAAAGTTAGATTATGATGATTTTATCCCGGAAAAGCTGATGAATCGGAAACAAAAAATGACCGCTAGAAAGAGGAGGAAAAGCTGCATCGAATGACACCCGAGTCGCTTGCCGGTTGTTGTTCTGTGAGGTTTGACTTGACTAAATATGGAATTTGATGGCATTGAGAAATTGATTGTAGAAACTCTAAGAAGCAAGCTAAGGAAAAGAAAAAATTACTCTGTATTCTATAGTGTTTGCTCTATCTATCTGCCACTTGTACTTTTTCGGAAATTAGGTGCAAAAATTTAGAAAAATAGCCGAACTTGACCATGGCAAAAAGCATGAGTCGCAGATTTTGGTAATTTTTTCGAGAACTCATCAAACATTATGCAGTGAAATTAAAACCATTAGAAAGAGGATGAAATGCTACATCGAATGCTTCTAAGACCACTTGAAAATGTTGATTCCACGAATAGTGGCGTTCGTTCGAAAAAAGCGACATTACTTTCGGAACGACCTAATATTTTTGGGTACAAGTGTTCGTTTGCCTTACTTTCCTATTTTTTTCTTTTTTCTTTTATATGGCGTCGTTGCCAAGATTATATTTGCAGTTGTCGCTGGCAAGCGGTATGCGAAACCGGAGCCAAGGAAGAGTTATGCGGAGAAACTCAAAGAGAAAACGGCCAAAGCCTAGTTAGTGGCCGTGCATATATCAATAAGCAAGTCTTATAATTTGTAGTGCTAATTCTATGGTTATCTGCGAAGGGTCTGGGAATGTATTTGATGTGTATTTGTGTTTCTCGGGATGGTTGATCTAGACAAGCTGCTGTCACGTTGAATTTATTCACGATTTTCTTGTCATTTCCTTTGTTTGCTTTTCAATCTAAAGCTCTGAAGAAATCCGTATACATACACAGACCACCTTCAAAATTTCGGTTTCCAAGCGATTTTTCTTGCCATTTTACGTGTCGAATCGAGGTTGAGTGTTTCGTATCCATGACTGTATTATTATCTTCATTTCCTTCTGTACTTGCCGAATATACAAATATATGTGCCGGTGAACAACCTGGACATTACTTGTCATCATTAGCCAAACGTATTACTTGTCGGTCACCACTGCATTCGGATCACTGAAGAGACACTAAAAAACTTCGTGGATTTGATTGATTGATTTATTGATCGCTAGATGGTCGTTGCTCGTGTGTGTTTATCAATCTTCATAGAAGAGAACTCCTTCAGATGATACTTACTATGTTTTAGTGATCATATCACTCTAGTCATCCGTTCTGTGCTTTACATGTCTGTGAAATCTTCTATGCGCGAAACATTTAGTTGCTTGTTGTTCTTCAGTTTTTTCCTACGTTCTGCGAATTGTGATTTTTCCTGAGACGAAAAAAATCGTGATCAGTTTTATTCGAGAATTCTTCTTTATGCAAATTTCAAAGCATATCAGACTAGGAAACGGGAGTATGGTTTACATCTGGAGTCGAGAAATCTTTTGGGTCTTGTTTGATAAATTCTCCGTCCCAGCTCAAAATTTCTCCAGAAGCCGTACGACCAGCTTTCTCTAGCTGTCCGAAACACAGGTCCAAATTTACATTATATTGCCCTTTTCACCTAGTCTTAATACAAAGAATGTTCTTTATCTACCTACCGGTAAACACCTCTGTTTGTCTGTTTATCCGTCGAATATATCGCTCTAACTCTATCTGTCTATGTCTGTCTATCCTTTGTAAACAATTATCATCTGTCGATTTTTTGTCTGTCAAACGGTTGTTCTATCCTCGAATGAAAATTCTGGTAAAATGTGTACCCTAATTTCACGCGTACAAGGCGCGGGGTGGTCCTAACTTTCATCGAGCTGCTCAGCCGCCACAACATGTTTCAAGAAGCGATTCTTATGCCGCACGATTCGTCAGGCAAAACGCAGTACGGTATGGGGTTCCTTCAATGCGAAGTCCTTTGCCGTGTTCGGGCTGGTCGATGAAAGCTAGGACCACCCCGCGCCTTGTACGCTTGAAATTAGAGTTCTGTTTCCATTTAGTACTCTGCTTTTAGCAGATAGGCTTAACTTGAATTTGCGGTATTGATCAGAAAGAAAATAAGTGCTAAGAAATGTGAAAGTTGTGAAAGAAGGTCAAGAAACTGTCGCTAAGTCGGTGGTTAAGAAAGTAGGCCGAAAAAGGCTCGAGATATTCGGGGCAGTAAAATTTTTTGAAAGCGGTTGGGTCGTTTACGTATAGCCCAAGAACAGCTGGGTGACTATTCATGTGGATAGAAGAACCATTTCTCGGCCTGACGACGACAATTCTGTTGGTTCGTTGGTTTGCGTTCAAAGCTCATATCCAAGGTTTGCAAGGTCAAGGTGATGCGCTACAACACCCACGGGTGGTCGAATGGATAGTGAGACGGGCTACGAAAATCGCATTAGAAGTTTGGTCTCCGTACATACTTGGGTTGACGATGTTCTTTATCGCGCTAAGTTTCAGAGTATATTGTAGGGACAGAGCCTGTACTGTGGTGAAAAATAGGAACCCAGCTATATTTCTTTCAGTTTGATTGTAATGGACGGGGGTTTTTTTATTTTACAGAGATAAGAACATTAAGACATTGGTTTCTCCTATCTTCATGAAAACCACTTGTTCTGTCTCATCACCTTGCGCCTCCCCTTGCGGTCCTCCACTTCTGGGGCTCCTTCCACTTCCTTCTTTCCCTCTGCTCCACCGGGGATAGCCTCCGGCTCCCTTCCCCCTTGCCCTTCCCTTCTTTCTTCTTCGTGGGTGGCCCCAGCTCACATGAATCGCTTAGTTTTTTAGTTCAGCATTGTTTTTTACTGCTTCATATAGCTCTCGCTTTCGGTTTCTATCTAAAGTGTGGGGAAATCCCGTTTCCGGAGCATATAATTTTTATCATAAATTGCTGTTTTACCGATAAAAGGTTTTGGTACCGCTCATTTGACAGTTGCTGAGGTCGAACCTGGTATGTGTCACACCTTAGCCAATCAATCACCTGAGGTGCTTGAAAATGTCGAACTTACTTTCTAGAGTATACTTTTCAAGCTGTTGTCTATAAGATGAGTGCGTGTAGAACCCGTATGACTGTTCTTCGTCATAAAATGTTTCGAACCTGCTTCACCAATGGTACTGCTACTTTATTTTTTTTTCTATAAAATGTAATTCATATAATTCTGATCTTGGTTACAAGAGATGCATTGTTAAAGCAAATCGAAACCCTGCTGTCTTGAAGAAAACAGGTCATTCCCGTAGCAGATGCATACTTGGTATCGTCGTGACAATTCAGTACTTCGTGAAATTTAGTAGTTTCCAGAAACAGTACCTTGTCCTAATTATGTGACCTAACTTATGTGAAAGAAATAGTATCTTGCTTTTGGAGCATGGGATATCGCTTTTCCTTTACCAATTTTGCCCTACGAATTCGAATAACGTTGTGGGGATTACGGCGTAAAGAAAAAGTAGGACATGTTGGTACTAGTAGCCAGTAGTGTAACGATTGGAAGACCGCATAACAATAACAACATACAGGAATTTCATCAAGTTGTGTATAAGTTCGCTTGCATTTTTGAAGCTAATCCATCGGAACCTTTCTATTTTTTGCGGAGTGTTTATACGCATTTTGATGTTCTTCCTTTTAGAAATTTCTGCTTGGGTTTGCCGCAGAGACTGATTTTATCAGACCAATGCCTCATAGTTGAGAAATTCATGATGCAAAAAAAATCATGTACTGGCAGTAAAACTGTCCGGTAATTGCGAACAGAACTATAGTGT